AAGTAGTTGGGGACTAATACTGAGAACATTCTAGTATTTCCATCTCAAGCAAAGAAGAGTTAAATGGCATAGCATTTGTGCAATTGTACCATAAATTATTTGGAAGATTTTGCTGTTGTTGCTGTTGTTGTACAGGGGAATTGGGGGTGGGGCAGAGTAGGGTGCACGTGAGGCCCATTGGCCATACCATGGAGAGTCTGCATATCTGAGGGTCTGATCCCATGGCTCTTAAATGGAGGGGGGGGTACCATATGACCATCTTGACTACTGGGCCATCAGCTGGATGGTTATTGATAACRATGATGAAGCTGAAAAAGATTGCTGAATCTAGTGGGACCAATATTACTGCAGATCTGGGTTTTCCAAAACTATCAACTAGAAGATGATCAGGAATTGATGCTTTAAAGGAAATTGCTTTTGTCCTCAAGGATATCCTTCACTCGTGTCAAGATTTGGAAGTGGTCCTTTCTCAAAAGTCAGATCTGGCATGAAGGAAATAGAGAAGCTCATGCAGCTGCTAAAAAAGGTCTTGTTGAAGGTTTTATCCCCAGAAACAACCTCGAGTGGTTGGACTCTTTTAAAGTCGAATGTTTCTTGTTTAATGCCTGTTGAGTCTGAGTTTTTTTTTATGTTGTTGTTCCTTCTGTTCTAGGGGATTGTTTTGGTGGTATTAGGTTTAATTTTGGTGTAGCTTGATGGCTGTTTTGTCGTGTGAATCTCTGTTGTAGTTGCTTTTCTCTTTGCCCTTTGAATTGAATATGGCAGACACCATTGTTGCACGTTTTACTTTTTTTCTTGTGTTTACTAGTATGTATTTAAATCAAGTCAAATTGGATTGGGTGGGGGTAGATCCATATTTGATCGAATTTAAAGAGATGAAATTTGGATCACCCTCTGCAACTGAGAGATAAAAAGCGTAAGGGAAAATGACTTGGGGGATGTCTAAAAACAAATCCAACCATGTTGTCAACACCCCGTTAGGGTGGGTTTGGTACCATTGTTGTGTCTTAAGTTTACCAATACAACTTGGTGAGAAATATGCTGTCATGTCACAATCATTTCAATCAGAAAATTGCATGTGTAGGGGATTGATCAATGACATTAATAATTGAAATTTCAAATTTGGAGTTTTGAATAGAAACAATAATTTGTATTGATGGACTAAACTACCTTGAATGGTCTAGGGGAATTAAACTCTACATTATTGGTGGGGGGAAAATATGATATATTAGTGGTAAAGTGAAGGAATCGAAGACTGGAAGTGCTGAATATGATAGGTAGAACCAAGAAAATAGTATGATGATGCCATGACTATTGGTTTCCATGCTGCCACAAGTAAGGAAGACATTCATGTGGGTTGAAACAGCTTGTGAAATATGGG